GGGCCCAGTGGCCATGATCTTCATTTTTTTGATGTTGAGGTTCAGACCATATTTTGCGCTCTCCTCTTTCACACTCAATAAAAGATTCTTTAATTGCTCCTCACTTTCTGCCATCAAGGTTGTGTCATCTGCCTATCTACATATTAGTAAGTATAGAACACTCTAAAAACATGTTTCAAATAGGCATTGGCCTTATTGCATCTGCAACAAAGAGCTACTTTAGCTACTCCTTTTTTATACAAACACAAAGAAGTCCAGTAAATTCTAAGTATTATTTTCTGTTGTATAAGTCTTAATTTAAGATCCATCGATACCTTTGATACCGAGGCTAAAACACTTTCCCACTGTCTGGGTCATCTTGAAAGTTCCAGTTCTTTGTTCCAATTATTTCTTAGCATCCGTATATCAAACTTCATATTTACATTTTTCTTTCAATCTATAAATCAAATCAAGAAATATAATTATCCATATTTAAAGATATGGATCATATTCAAAAATAATATTTGTGGATAAGAATCTATCATATGTATTTAAATCCAAGTTCAGTAAATATTACCTACGTACATAGTCTATTTCCAGATCAACCAATAAGTCAGAAATAACAATTGTAAAATAATAAAATAAGAAACACAACTATATATTAAATTAATGCAAAATAATTATATATGAAAAACGTATAAAATATATAAAAAGCTAAAACAAGGTTGATAAAAAAGAAGAAAATAGAATGAATGAATGAAAGAAAGAAAAATATTTTTTAAGGGAAAAATAAAAACTTTATTATAGCTAAACAATAAAAAAGAGAACAAAACTAAATAAGTGATGGAATTAATACAGAAATGAAAAATAAATATATGACTTCCAGAATGTGTTGGCATTGCTCACAAAGTCCCCTCTTCGCTGTCAAAATATTGAGAGTAATTCCAAGCCTTAAGGATAAGTTTCCTAGCTGGCAATAATTTAGATACAATATTGTCCAGTCCTTGAAAATACCAAGCTTGTTCTGGAATTCTTCCCAGACTGTCTTGATAAGTTGATGCAGTAATGGCAGAGTGCTTCAGAGTTTGCCTATTTTCTTTGCTTTCTTTTCTCTTTTCCGTCTGTGGATGTATTTACCGTAATGGTGGAGACTTGTTTGCGATGCAAAGTGGAAAGAGAGAAGGGGACTGCTGCAAGAGATTTGTCAATGTTTTCAGGTTCTGCAGGGGATGTTTAACTTATTGTAGATTTGATTGTACAGTGGTACCTCAGGTTACATACGCTTCATGTTACAGACGCTTCAGGTTACAGACTCCGCTAACCCAGAAATAGTACCTCGGGTTAAGAACTTTGCTTCAGGATGAGAACAGAAATTGCGCGGTGGCAGCGGGGGGGCCCCATTAACTAAAGTGGTGCTTCAGGTTAAGAACAATTTCAGATTAAGAACGGACCTCCGGAACGAATTAAGTTCTTAACCCAAAGTACCACTGTATTCAGAAATGCTTCTGCATTTTCAGAAACCTCAAACTTATGAGCTTGGTCCTGATATTTTTATGCAAAATTTTGCTGGGAACAGTGTGAAATTTTCCAGTTGCCAGGCTTTGGGGAATTTTTTCCCCTTGCAATGAAACTTCTTGGGTGAAATCTGAGAAAATTATATCTTGCTGTCCTCCCATACAAAGGGTGAAGAAAGGGACATTTGACGGAAAATACTTAGGATCTTGTCTCTTACATTAGTTCAGTGTTTCCCAACCGGTGTTCCGCGGCACACTAGTGTGCCGTGAGACGTTGCCTAGTGTGCCGTGGGAGGGAGGCGGGCGAGTCGGGCGGCGAGAGGCGGGGCGGCGGCGGCGAGCACACGCGGGGCGGCGAGCGAGCTCCCTCCCACATCCCATCGCCGCGAATGCAGGCTTTCGCTGAAGCCTGGAGAGCGAGAGGGGTCGGTGCGCACCGACCCCTCTTGCTCTCCAGGCTTAAGGAAGCTATCCCCCCAGCCGCGCAAGCTCCAGAGCGATGCCAAAGCTGCGAGCACCTTCGCCATCGCTCTCCGACCCGTTCGGGGGGCTGGGGACGGGAGAAGCTCCGGCTTCCCCCGCCCCCAGCCCGCGCAAGGTCCCAGAGCGATGCGGAAGGTGCACGCACCTTCGCCATCGCTCTCCGACCTGCTCTGCGGGCTGGGGACGGGAGAAGCTCCGGCTTCCCCCGCCCCCAGCCCGCGCAAGGTCCCAGAGCGATGGCGAAGGTGCGCGCACCTTCGCCATCGCTCTCCGACCCGCTCTGGGGGCTCGGGACGGGAGAAGCTCCGGCTTCCCCTGCCCCCAGCCCGCGCAAGGTCCCAGAGCGATGGCGAAGGTGCGCGCACCTTCGCCATCGCTCTCCGACCCGCTCTGGGGACTGGGGACGGGAGAAGCTCCGGCTTCCCCCGCGCAAGGTCCCAGAGCGATGGCGAAGGTGCGCGCACCTTCGCCATCGCTCTCCGACCCGCTCTGGGGGCTCGGGACGGGAGAAGCTCCGGCTTCCCCTGCCCCCAGCCCGCGCAAGGTCCCAGAGCGATGGCGAAGGTGCGCGCACCTTCGCCATCGCTCTCCGACCCGCTCTGGGGACTGGGGACGGGAGAAGCTCCGGCTTCCCCCGCGCAAGGTCCCAGAGCGATGGCGAAGGTGCGCGCACCTTCGCCATCGCTCTCCGACCCGCTCTGGGGACTGGGGACGGGAGAAGCTCCGGCTTCCCCCGCCCCCAGCCCGCGCAAGGTCCCAGAGCGATGGCGAAGGTGCGCGCACCTTCGCCATCGCTCTCCGACCTGCTCTGGGGGCTGGGGACGGGAGAAGCTCCGGCTTCCACCACCCCCAGCTCCTGCAAGCTCCGGGAGCAATGGCAAAGGTGCGCTCACCTTCGCCATCGCTCTCGGACCCTTTCTGGGGGCTGGGGGTGGGGGAAGCTCTGGCTTCCCCCACCTCCAGCCCCGCAAGCTCTGGGAGTGATGGCGAAGGTGCGCTCACCTTTGCCATCGCTCTCGGACCCTTTCTGGGGGCTGGGGGCGGGGGAAGCTCAGGCTTCCCCCACCCCCAGTCCCGCAAGTTCCGGGAGCCACTCTGGCTCCCATTCTGGGGGCTGGGGTCGGGGGAAGCTCGGGCTTCTCCCGCCCCAGCCCCGCGTATGGGGGGGGGAATAATTTTTTTCCCTTTATTTCCCCCCCAAAATCTAGGTGCGTCCTATGGGCCGGTGCGTCCTATAGGGCGAAAAATATGGTAGTCAATATAGGCACAGAGTTAATTTTTTAAACATTTTCTAATGGTGGTGTGCCTCGAGATTTTTTTCATGAAACAAGTGTGCCTTTGCCCAAAAAAGGTTGGGAAACACTGCATTAGTTCACAGAAATTGAGCAATTATAATGTTGGAATGAGTCACAGTTTTCCATCTTGTTACCAGTATAAACTTGACTTGGTTTATTTCTCTCTCTCTCTATATATATATATGAATATATATATATATATATATTCCATATAGAAAGTTACTTTTGTTACGCAACAATTATATTCCAATTCAACCAAACTAGTGACTTCCCACTCTCCCAACATCGATGTTTATAACCCAAATTACATACAATCACATTTTCAGGTTCCATCTTATCTAATTTCATTCTCTCTAACATGTTTCTTAATACGTTCTGTTATTTTCTTACACTTCAAACCCCACTGTGGTATTCACATAAGGGAAATAACTTTTTATATAGATTAGTATATTCCAATCTTCTTTAAAATATTCTAAATTTGTATCTTTTATCAATGCTGTCAATTTTGCCATCTCTGCATATTCCAAGATTTTCATCAGCCATTCTCCCTTTGAGGGTGTTCTCTTCTCCTTCCATTTCTGTGCATAGAGAATCCTTGCCACTGCAGTCACATACATACATACGGTAAATACTGCTGAGGCTTTCTTTGGGATTTCGCTGTCTAGTATCCCCAGCAGGAAGGATTCTGGTCTCTTAGGAAAAGTCACTTTATTTCCCCCCCCCCTTAATTTCATTAATATCATGTCCCCAAAGGTCTTTGCTTTTCTGCAGGTTCACCACATATGATAGAATGACCCCTTACATTTCCAATTAATTTCTCATAATTTTCACATAAACCTACTTCAAAGTTTGACCTTTGTTCTTCAAATCCATTTTTAAAATCTTTTTTTAAATATAGATTTCATTTAATTTATGATATTGGAACCAGTTACCCACTGAGTTCACATTACCCACTGAACTCACATTCATTGTCCTGAAAACTCTTTAATTCTCTTTATATAGCCCATTTGCATTGCATATTTGTTTATGTGCTCAAGTCTCCAATGGTGATAACCATAAGGAGGTTTTATGTTCCAGAAGACTTTTAGTTCTCCTCCACACCTCCATCAGACTCCTTGATTTGTTTGATTTCAATGCTTTGATTTTCCAGCAGAGATAGCAGCTTTTAAAAGAAGTCTTCCATAAGTGCTTCTCTTTGTGAAGGAGGGCATCTGATGCCAATTACTCTTTACTTGGGATTCCAAGAGTGAGATCTGCTTATCTGCAATACTCTGATTCGCTTGTGTAACCATCTCATGCATATTCAAATGTTGTTCAAATTCATTCTTTTTTTGTGCAGCTCTGAAAGCTCTGTTTTTACTTCAGCCATATCTTTTTTTAATCTCAGCGAGATCTTTCTGCATTGGTTTGTAAGGCACTAGTATTTATATCATTTCCAGCCGCCTCCCCCCCCCATCTTTTTTTGGCTCAGCCATTGCTTGCACAGTTGGGTTTGTTTCTTACTTAATTCTGGTATTCATAGTGCTCATAATTAATCCTCTTCAAGATTAGGGGTAGCGTGGAATAGGAAAGGAAATATTTACCCAAGTAGTGAAAGTCTTTGTTCACACAGTCTGGTAACTTAGCTGTCCCGAAAATACTTAGCAGCCAGGAGAGGGGAGTCAGTGCTCATGGCACCATGTCCAGGCCAGAAGGGTTAATTTTCTGATACTTACCACAACATGTATCAATGAAAGACAGCAACATGTCATTGGTAAAAATGAGTATTTGGCACTTTGTCGTTGGAGCTTTTGGATACTACTGTGTATCAGATTTCATACATCTGTTATGTCATATACTGTATACATGTAAACAAGTCTACACAAGGAGAAGTACATTATGTAGCGCTGGCAGGAGGGAAAATATAATTTTTAATTTCAAGGTCACAACCTCATATTCCTAAGAGACAGTATCAGACCAGACGCTAGAGCAACCTTTCGCAACCTTGGGTCCACAGATGTTTGACTAAAACTTCCATAATTCCTGACCACTGATCCTGATAGCTAGGAAGGATAGGAGTGCAGTCCAAAAGCATTTTGGAGCCCAGGATTGAGAAAGGCTGCTCTAGAGGCTCAGTTTGAACATGCAGATTTCTGGAGAGGAGATGGCAGCTGCTGTGCTTCTTCCCCCAGTTCTGCTGCTGCTGTGCTCTCTGGGGCTGAGTTGTGGTTTGGCTTGGCTTAGCATGTCACCTGATTCCAGGTTTGTGGTTGGTCTGCTCCAGACAAACTATGAGCTATAAACAAAGAACAAGACATGGTTACAGCTTATGGTGTGTCTAGAGTGAAATAAACCACACCCCCAAGTTCAGATGATGGACTAATGCCAAACCTAAGCTACCTGGCTTAGACTTAGGTAGCAAGGCAGCAGGACCAAGGGAGGAGCGCAGCAGTAACAATCTTCTCTCCAGGGCTGTTTGTAATTGGGTCTATACACTGAAAAATCACTAAAACCTCTTACTTTAAAAAAGCAATCTTCTCTCCAGGAAACTGGGGGTTCGCACTAAGCTAGATCTTTAGATGGAACTGAGAAATATTAAATGCCTTGGTGTCATGATCAACATTTTAGATGCTTGAGGTTTTTCTAATTGGGATTCCTTGCTTGATTTTATGTGTCGATGTTATCCTGCATACAAATTTGATCAGATGAACTATTCAAGCTTAATAGCAGTTTTGACAACTATGCTTTTGTTTTTGTTTAACTTTTAGGAGCGACTTCTGATGAGTCTTTTGCCCAGGAATGTTGCCATGGAAATGAAGGAAGATTTCCTGAAGCCACCTGAAAGGATTTTCCATAAAATTTACATTCAGAGACATGACAATGTTAGGTAGGACTGATGCAAGCTTGCAAAATGTAAAGTCTTACAGACATCTCACATGCACATATAGTGAAGGATCGTCTTAGCTGATTCTTCTGGGACTGTAGCAGTTCAAAGGATGGAGTGGTGGCTTTGCTTCTAATTCATTGAAGGGGAGAGGAGTGAAGTGAAGGCACAGGCACAAGCTGAGGTGTTCCAGAATAGGTCTGAATCAGTAAAAAAAAAATTCTAATTATTATTAGGGGAATACCATATTTTTCACCCTATAGGACGCACCGACCCATAGGACGCACCTAGTTTTTTGGAGGGGAAATAAAGAAAAAAAATTTTATTCCCCCCGCCCAGGGGCTCCCTAGGCTGCGGATATCTGCCCGAAGCGCGGGGCGCTCTGCTTCAGCACGCCCCGCGCTCCAGGCAGCAGGCTGCTATCCGCAGCCTAGGGAGCCCTGTGGGAACTCCCGCAGGCTCCCCAGGCTTGCTGATAGCTTCCTGAAGCCTGGAGAGCAAGAGGGGTCAGTGTGCACTGACCCCTCTCACTCTCCAAGCTTCAGCGAAAGCCTGCATTCGCCCCATAGGACGCACACAGATTTCCCCTTCATTTTTGGAGGGGGGAAAGTGCGTCCTATAGGGCGAAAAATACGGTAAGTTTTCTTTCAAAGCTGTGAACCTCGCTTTTTGCATGCAGAGCATGCAACACAGTGCCCGAGCCCCAGCCTCACAGACCATCTCTGGAAGTAGCCCAGAAACCCACTACAATATTCCTGGCCCTGTTTTGGATCCCAAATGCCATTTGGAATAGAAACTCACCCTGTCCCCATGCCAAGCATCATCAGTGTAGCGTTTTTGCTCACATACAAAGGCATATACAGTATACAGGCCTCGGTCCTGTAAACCTAAAGGAGCATCTCCACCCCCATCATTTAGCCCGGACACTGAGGTCCAGCGCCGAGTGCCTTCTGGCAGTTCCCTCACTGTGAGGAGTGAGGTTACAGGGAACCAAACAGAGGGCCTTCTAGTGGCGCCCGCCCTGTGGAACGCCCTCCCTTCAGATCTCAAGGAAATAAGCAGCTCTCCTATTTTAAAAAGACTTCTTAAGGCAGCCCTGTTTAGGGAAGTTTTTAATATTTAATGCAGTATTGTTTTTAACATTCGATTGGGAGCTGCCCAGAGTGGCTGGGGAAACTCAGCCAGATGGGCGGGGTATAAAAAAAAAAAATAATAATATATTATTATTATTATTATTATTATTATTATTATTATTATTATTCCTATCTCTGCAAAAACAAATCAACTGAAACAGCCCTTGTTTAACTTGTTTATAGGTAATGATCCTGATATGTACCACTTCTGTATCAAACCACCCATCTATTCTGTACACAGGATTTGAGTTCTTCTTTCTTCTTTTGTTTTCCTAAGGTTCTTTTTATGAAGGTTGTTCTGCTGTATTTTACTTTATGGCTGCATAGAGCTCCCAGTTAGAATTATTTGCAGCTGTTGTTTTGTTTACTCACAGCGAACTCTCTCTGTGGTTTGGTTCTCAAAGTCTTTGAACTTAAATCTATTTGTTTTATGCAAAAAGAATACAGGAAAGAATTCTTATAATCACCTCTGCTCCCAGTAGTAAAGCTGCAAAGACCATGAAAGCCTCAGAGCACCATATCAAAAGAGAAAGATCAAGGAGCTAAAAGCTGACATGAAAACTGGAACCAGAATAATTGCCCAAGAAGATATAGACAGGAGCCTATATATTTCAATCTAATCATGAATATGTGTGTCAGAGTTTCACATGTATATGCACATAAAACAAATTTGGAATTGGTTTAAAACATCAGTCTAAAGAGAACTTGAAGTCCATCTGACCTCTGAAAGCTGTGCTCCTCAATCCGAAGTTGCTCAACAGGGAGGAAAAGACACTCTGAACCTGCTGAGAAACAGTCTGAAAACAATCCCTTCACATCTTCCAGAATTCAGTCCTGGTATTGCAAATAGATTCTGGGGCTGATCAAGTTTACAGTTTCAAGTTTGCAGCTATCCCCACCACCACAGGAACCCAGATCACCAGCAGTTCTCTGTTTGAGATAATGGCTCTTCCAAGAGCAGCAAGGAATAACTCCGGGTGCAACAGTGGGAAGTCCAGGAACATATGAATTCAGGAGCTGGATCTCTTTTCCTTGTTTGCAAACACACTGTGTAAAACTTTTATCTGCTGAATTTCTGCCTATTCTACTGGTATTATACACAGGAACCTTATCAGATAATAGAGGCTAGCTGTAAAATTGACCCTTTAGATTGACCCTGTTTTATTTCAGAATTTTTGAGCTGGCAATATATAGTGAATCCCTGCTCACCCTGTCAGCTGCCTCCAGAACCATGCATTTCATTCTCGGCTGTCGCCAGCATTTCACATGCCACCTACCCAACTGTCCTCACAGTTTGTGTCCTGAAAAGCCACCCAATATTACCACCCTATCTCCTTCCCTCCCTCCCTCTGCAGCTCAGCCATTGGCCTCAGGAGCTCGAAAAGGTTCCTGGCCTCTGCCTCCACCAGCCATGCTTGCACCTACCTAGTCCACATCCAGGAATCAACACTCGGCTGTTGATGTTCCATGGCTTAAACGTCAGCTTGACATACAAAAATAAAGAAGGTGGAGCTTTTCTTTGCATGGAGATAAAAGTCATGCATTGAGATACGCTTGTTTAATTTCTGCATGTTTTGATTCCATTAAAGCACAGCAGCAAAACCAGTAAAGCTGGCAATCTTAAAAGTAAGTCCCATTGCAGCCAGTTTTCCTCCCTTCTGAGTCAGCTGGTTTGAGATGCCAGCTGAGGGATAGCATGTGATGGCATTAGATAAAGCAGTCTAGTCAATGAAAACTTACACCATAATGAGCGTTTTAGGCTTTAAGTGGCACAAGACTCTTGAGTTGTGTTTGCTACAATAGCTACCCTCTGGAAAAGGTTTAGGATGAGATACAGGATATTTTTAGTAAGTCTGCAGCTGTTTTATGCATGGCAGTTACCCATCTTTTCAGTTAGAGAGGATGCAAGGAGCTCTTTCCTGACTCCCGGATTATGAGCATCCAATTTCCCCAGGAAATCAAAATAGTAGCAGAAGTTTCTCTCTTAGGAACAGATGCAGCAGTAAAGGTGAAATCACATACAACATATGGTTTCTCCCACAGCAGAACTTACATAAACAGGATGCAGATGATGCTCTGGAAGAATTATTGTGGTTGGCCATGATGTGATGGTTTTCCAAACTTTGAAAACTGATTCTCTCTTCAGTGTCCATGATAATATTCATCATTAACATGTAAGAGCTGCATAGCTGGGATTTGAGCAGGCTACAATAATGGGCAAATCATAAATTACACAAAACCACATCTTGATAGTTGAGAGGATAAAACTAGAAAGATGTGGTTATTTTCACATTGTGTGTGTGGTGAACTTTATTAACCTCTCTGCTGGGTTTTCTTTGCCAATGCTATATAAGTATATATAATGTGAGTTTACTGTGCATATTTTAAAATGTGTTTTCTCTCTAATTTTCCCGCACCAGAGAACTTTTGTTAAGCCGCTAAAGGGCTAAATTGCACGTTACAGCACAGCCTTCTGTACCATTTCTGTAGTATTTGCCCAGTAGCTGCTTCTTTACTGCAAACAAAGTAGCCTTGTGAGTGAGAGGTTTGCAGTGGGAAAAATATGGCTTGCCACTTTCCCCCTGAAATCTCCCTCACATTATTTCCCCCTATGTGCCTCCTGCCTCATGTTTATGAGGTGAGCATTTGTATGGAACACCATTGGGGTAAAAGTGCCTGGAGGAAGGATTACAGTAAAAGTGGCAGGAAGAAATGAAGTTGCTGCATATTACACCCCCGCCTGGTCTTGCCTACAGAGGTGGTTGGCTAGTGCTAAACATAGCTGCATTATAATGTGTACTTAGGCCCTTAGTCTGCAAGTCCGGCTCCTCTATTTCAAAGTGTCCTTCAGGATGGTATGCAACTTATCCCTGCTGCAAGGTGCTCTGATGTTCAGCACTGCAGGACAGCCTTGTGCTGGCTTCTGGTTCTGCACTGCCTTAATGGAGGCAGCCCCCATGACAGTGGGAGAGAGTAGGCGATGGAGAAACCAGGATGATTGAGGGTAATTATCCTTTCAAATTCCCCCCAGGGATGGCGTACGGGCTTCACTTGCAGTTCATTTCAGTACCTGGCTTTCACTTTGGCATGGAATGCAGGGGCCAGGGAAGCATTGACTGCAAAAAGCACTTTGCCTGCCGAAAACCTTCCAATGCCGCCATTAAGAAGCAGAGGTTCTCTTGTTAATTAGAGCTTAATTGGACTAAAGTGCAGGTGTGTGCTAGAAGAGATGAGATCACAAACTGTGGAACAAACCAACTGCAAGGATTTTAAGGTTTGAATTTGAGATAAGACTTCATTCGGTGCAAAAGATGATGGGGTGGGGAGCCTACGGTTTGTTTGTTTAAAGTTTTTCTCTCTACAGTTATGATTTGGCAACCCTCCCCTGAATGTTAGTTCAAATTATACTTGTACAAATGAGGATGGAAGAAATTGGATTAAAAATATGGATGATAACATCAAAAGGAACTGTGTGTGTAAAAAAGGGGGAAAGGGAGGGAAGCTCTATTTTGCAAAAGTTTTACAATGGAAACATAGAGCTGACACTTCACCATCCTTTATTATCTACAAAGTGAATTGAATAACGCTAAGAGGACTTGGAATTTAATTTAATTGGAAGGATAATTGGCCATATATCTCTACCTGGAAGGATGAAAGGAGTCTATGAGCTGCCAAGGAACTGATAAGGTTCTATATTGAGTCATCTGCAATATATCCGACTCTTCTTCCCAGGCGAGGGGAAAAAATAGTGACAACAGTTTATTTACCAAGGCAGAGCGACTTTTGCATCTGTTGTTAAAGTTCTCGGTGCAAAACAATGAAGCACAGGACAGAGCGATGGAGAAACTTCTGGAACAACAATGGGATATTATCTCCACCCAAGGCACGATGGATAGCAGTAACAAACAGGGGAAAGAAAGACATAACATCTTACAAGGACAGAAAGAAACACCACGGACAGAATAATTGCCGCACACAGGAAGAACAAGGATATAGTTTGAGTCCCTCACTTGAAGTTTCATAAATCATTTAGTGTGACAACACAAACAGAAGTTATTAATACTGCAGTTGTTGTATAAGGGATTATTATTATAACTAGAATGTAATTGAAACTAATAAGATTTTGGACCGCAGAAATAAAGAGAACCAGAAAGCCATCAAATCTAGCATCTGGGGGGCCACTTTAAATAAATTATATAATTTGGTATTTAAATGATTGGTATTAATAATTGTATTATAAACTGGCATTGTTATAATGAGGCCGATTGGAATGTAATTGAAAATTAATTGAAATTTATCGGGGGGGGAGGACAGCCTCGTGCTGACACACTCTCTGATCAGGGAGATCTGATCAGATCTTGTTCATTAACTGAACAGCTGTGGCTCACTTGTCCCTCAAGGAAGAGGCAGGACAAGACCTGGAGGAGAGGAGGGAGCCTATGAGGCGAAAACAGAGAACTGTGTGTGAGGGGTATGCTCAAGGAGGCAGATTTGGATCGACGTTCAGACTGTAAACTAGTTTGAAGTTTAAAGCCCAATTTTCAAAGTATCCTTTTAATGCAAACCCTTTCGCTTTAGATGACAGCAGGTTGGTGAGAGTTGAGGGCATTTGTATGCTTCTAGTTTGGGAAGCCCCCTTTCGCTGCTGTCGTTAGAAGACTGGGAATGTGATTTGGCACCCAAGTTATAAGCAATGGCCACGTAATAACCTCTGTCTTAATGAAACCTCTGTTTGTCCCATGGCCAGAAGGCCCTGATCCAAGTGGTTTCCCTCTTGCCCTGCCTCTTTCCTAGTTAGTCTGAGATGAGGCATGGCAAGCTTGTTCGGCTCTGTTTTTGGAATTAACCAAGGGACAGGAAAGTAGGCTGCAGCCCAGGACTAGGACAGACCTCTGTCACTGTATATCTGTGTATGCTACATGTAACACATAATGAAGCAGTAATTTGCACCAACTGGTTTGCCACCATGAGGCAGCCTGCTGTCCTTCCTGGACTTCAGACAGCTCCCTCCAGCCCACTCAGCACAGGCAGAAGGAGAGATAATGGGAGCAATAGTGAAAACATACGGAGGACACCAGGTTGAGAGAGGCTGCTCTGGGCCATTGCATGGGTCTGCCCCAATGTAAAGTCATTGAAGACTGCAAATTAAGTAAAGTGATTTGCGTTGTTACTTAGCCTTATATTTCACCTGCAATCCTTCCAAAAATATGTTGGGATAAACACTGCTAATGCCTCTGCATTTCCTTTATTCTCTTTGTAGCATATTGTTTGCAGACATTGTGGGATTCACCAGCTTGGCATCGCAATGCACTGCTCAAGAATTGGTGAAGCTTCTGAATGAACTCTTTGGGAAGTTTGATGAATTGGCTACCGTAAGCATGTACTTTTTCCTTTTAAAAATTATTTTGAATTGATTTTTTAACAATGTGGTTTGTGTGTATGTCAGAGATTATGCACATCTAAGGCATGAAATAGACTGATTGCTAATCTAGTTCCCACAATAAGGCCCATGAATCACCACACATCCCTGAGGTTTCTGTGAAATCATTTATAGTTTTGGATTTCAGCAACAGAGTGGTAAGAAAGTGGTAAGAAAAAGAAATTAGAGCTGGCATTTTACGAGTAATTCATCACCAACCGTTTCATCATCACTAGAGTAGAGCTGCCATTAATGGGATTTCAAAGGCGGAATTGATATCTGTTGGGAAATTCCAAAAGGTGGCATTTTGTCTTGGATCTTAGGCAAGTCAATTGAAAAATCATGGTTTGGGGGCATTATTGTAAAAAAAATGAAAATAGAAAACAACTTTGGGGGTGTCCTGATTCTGAAATACGGCAACCGGATCTGACTGTCCTCCCAGCAGCTGCCCCAGCTTGCCTCTTGAGGTGCGTCCCTCACCAAGTCTTAGGAGCCTGCAAGTTAGGCTGCCTGGTAGAGTTTAAGGTTAGGAACTGGGTGAAGTAATATTTGCCAGTTCTGTACTCACCACCTCATGAATGGAAGATGAAAATCACAAGACGCTACCATTTGTGTCCACTTTGTCAGTTTATTTCATCTTCAAGGATAATATGACTTTTTAACTTGGCTGTTAATGACTGTTTGCTTAATGAATTATTTCCAGCTATAGTACTGAACCTGGTAGTTGCCAAGTTAGGCCATCCAAAGCATCTATGTTTCTCTAAATATAGCCACGTTTTCCACATAAAGAAATATTATGCCTGCAGGACAAGCTTGGTAAAATACTTCATAGGGGTACTGTAATGTTGTGCAGAGGGACGCAGGTGGCGCTGTGGGTTAAAGCCTCAGTGCCTAGGACTTGCCGATCGAAAGGTCGGCGGTTCGAATCCCCGCGGCGGGGTGCGCTCCTGTTGCTCGGTCCCAGCGCCTGCCAACCTAGCAGTTTGAAAGCACCCTGGGTGCAAGTAGATAAATAGGGACCGCTTACTAGCGGGAAGGTAAACAGCGTTCCGTGTGCTGCGCTGGCTCGCCAGATGCAGCTTGTCACGCTGGCCACGTGACCCAGAAGTGTCTGCGGACAGCGCTGGCCCCCGGCCTATAGAGTGAGATGGGCGCACAACCCTAGAGTCTGTCAAGACTGGCCCGTACAGGCAGGGGTACCTTTACCTTTAATGTTGTGCAGCTGCGTGTGTGTGACCAGATAAAGGAGAAGCATTCTGTTCCTGTAACAGTAGTGTAGAAGCAAGAATTTCAGCAAGTCTGGATTTTCTCATCTCCGCATGATGGTCGCTTCCAACTCTACGAGGATTCTATGAATTTCTTGTTGTGTGTTCAACACACAGTGGGGGTGTGGTATGTGGGAGTAATGAATCGTGCAGGCTCAAGTGGATTTCTAGTGACCTCATTCTGCATTGGTTGCAGTGCATGGAGTTTGGCAAGGTGTAGAGCCAAGAGCCAGTCATCAGGCAGCACAATTACTGGCCAGTGTCATCATCCCCATCAAAGTACTGGAATAACATTGTGAGAAGTTGCATGATTTCCCAGCCCTCTACAGCATGAATAACAGTGGGTGTCTGCTATAGACTGCCAAGCCAAACTGAAGATTTGGATGAAGCCTTCTTAGAGCAGATTACCAAACATGCAAAAAGGAGAGAAATAGAAGTCATGGGAGACTTCACCTTCCCCAATATCTGTTGGAACTCAAACTCTGCCAAAAATGTAAGGTCCAACAAATTCATTCATTGCCTCACTGACAATTTCATTGCCCACAAGGTGGAAGAAGTAGACACCCACAGTAAGGTCACTGTTGTTTCTCTCTCCTACAATTTTAACCCATATACTCTCAATCTGCTTTCCATGCTCCAAGTCATAAATTTCTTCACAAGTGTACACATCCTTTACGTACATAAAATGCTACTCCTCCTCCCTTCATGTTTGGTCTATTCTTTTTGAACAGGTTATACCCCTCAATTCCTACATTCCATTCATGAGTTTCATAGAATCATAGAATCATAGAATCATAGAGTTGGAAGAGACCACAAGGGCCATCGAGTCCAACCCCCTGCCAAGCAGGAAACACCATCAGGAAAAACCATTCATCCCACTAGGTTTCAGTAATACCTACCAGGTCATATTTGTCATCCTGTACTAAAAGCTCCAATTCATCTTGCTTGTCTCTGGGCATTTAGAGAAAACTGAAACCATGAGTCATTCCCTCTAACTGCTTTCTTCCTGTAATTTCTTGCCCTTTAGCATGTATCTGGAATACCACCTCAGTTTACTGTGCATCAGTAAAGCTACTATCCCCAGTACCAGGTGTTCTTCTGTTGCTTGTAATGTTGTCTCCCTCCCCCTCAAGATATAGTATAAAACTCTTCCTGATTAGGTTCATGAGACTCTTAGCAAACACATTCTTGCCAACCGCTGTGAGATGCAGCCCATCTGTCTCCAGAAGTCCTTCTTCAAGGAAGTGGAGACTATGTTGCAAGAAACCAAACCCTTCCTTCACAGCCAGTGGTATACCTCAACTATTTTCCTCTCTCTTCCTGGGCCATGACCTTCAATGGGAAGGAGTGATGAAAAGACTACCTGTGCCCCAAGTCTCTTCAGCTTCCTACCAGATTAATGTCTCATTCTTTTCTCTTCCTACTCCTGTGAACCTTGTCCTTCAGCACATGCATACCTGCAAATTTCATCTTAGTAGCTAAATTAAAGGTTACGAACATGTACTGTATTTTTCCGTGTATAAGACTAGGTTTTTTTCCTTAAAAATAATGTCAAAAATCAGGGGGCTTCTTATACGTGGGGTCATGAGTCCCCCAAAATAGGGGGCGTCTTATATATGGGGGCATCTTATAGACTGAAAAATACGGTACCTCTTTAGAGTTTTGCTTAAATCTTGTTCCTTGCAATCCATTGTAACAATTTGAATAATTCCCCATTTCCATGCTCATTTTCCTTTTATGTGCTCTGAAACCATGAGATTGTATCCACAAGAGAGTAATTAAAGCTACACAGATGTGCTGAGTTATTTCATTTGTTATTTGAAGACTTTGCTGCTGTTGCTCTGCTAGTGAGTATTGGGGAGGACCGCTCCCCCTTGAAGCCCATTTTCCACCTTGGGCCTGGGGGAGGCCCCATACTCACCACCACAGCTTATAAGACTCCAAGGAGGCCTTGGGGGTGGGGGGTGGGATGGATGTTTAGTCGGGTTTGGGAATTTGTTTAATTTTGGTATGCTTGTAACTTTTACTGTTTTGGTTTTTTTATTTTTTATTTTTTGTATAGGTTTTAATTTGATTTTAAGGGGAGGGGTAAAGGCTGCCTGGGAGTGGGTCCCAGCCAACAAAATGGCTGGGGCAGGTTCCACAGGGGGGGATGCACTGGGACAACCAATCACAGTGATCACGGGTAGGAGGAGGAGTTATGCTAAGACCAGAACATGTCACTACCGAGGAGGCAGGTTTAGTTGTTGTTTGAGGACTATCCCTGCCTCCGGGTCTGGTCTTGACCAGACGGATACTGGAATCAGCAAGGGAGACCCACATGACCTGAAGGTACTGCTGTGCAATGCCAGGTCAAGGATTCATAAGACCACTGCCATCCATGACTTGATCATGGATGGAGGACTTGACCGGGCATGTGTAACAAAGACTTGGTTGGATGAAGCAGATGGGCTTGTCCTTCCACTGTTTGTCCACAAGTTTTCTCTTATGCACAGCAATGTAGGCCTTGTGGGCGGGGAGGGGGGTTGCAGTTATTTTTAGGAAGTCATTAGTTAGCACCAGGCGTCCTATTGGGAAGACCCAGTTCTCTGAGTGCATGTTCTGGAAGCTGGGCAATAGGGGCAGTACAGGATTCCTTTTAGTGTACAGACCTCCCTGCTGCACCAAGGATTCCCTGGCCAAGCTGATTCAGGTTGTGGCAGATATTCTCCTGGAGACACCTAATTTGGTTGTCCTAGGGGATTTTAACATCCACGCCAACATGACCTTACAAGGGGCTGCTCAGGACTTTGTGGAAAGCATGGCCTCCATGGGGCTATGCCTGAATAAGTCTGGCCCGACTCATAGCTGCAGACATGCCTTAGACCTGGTGTTCACCTCTATGGATGTTGGTGATCTGACACTAAGTAAAAGTGAAACAAAAGAAGTGCCATGGTCAGATCACTTCCTGGTGCAACTGGACTTCTCTGCAACCGTTCTCCTCTGCAGGGAGGTGGGACTGATTCGGATGGTCCACCCCTGCCACTTAATGGATCCAAATGGTTTCCAGAGAGTGGTAGGGGATACCATGTTAATGGCCTTCCAGATGATTCCCTGGGGGCCCACTGGAATGTGGAGTTAACCAGGGCTATTGACTGTTTCGGGACGCAGGTGGCGCTGTGGGTAAAAGCCTCAGTGCCTAGGGCTTGTCGATCAAAAGGTTGGTGGTTCGAATCCCCGTGGCGGGGTGCGCTCCCGCTGCTCGGTCCCTGCTCCTGCCAACCTAGCAGTTCGAAAGCACTCCCGGGTGCAAGTAGATAAATAGGGACCGCTTACTAGCGGGAAGGTAAACGGCGTTTCCGTGTGCGGCTCTGGCTCGCCAGAGCAGCGATGTCACGCTGGCCACGTGACCTGGAAGTGTCTCCGGACAGCGCTGGCCCCCGGCCTCTAGAGTGAGATGGGCGCACAACCCTAGAGTCTGTCAAGACTGGCCCGTACGGGCAGGGGTACCTTTACCTTACCTATTGACTGTTTGGCTCCGAAGTGCCCTCTCCGATTGCATGGAGCCTGGACAGCCCTGTGGTTTTCCATGGATCTGAGGGCACTGAAACAATTGCTGAGACAGTTAGAGTGCCAGTGGTGGATAACTCATTCTGAAGCTGACCAGACACCGGTTAAAGCTCAATGCCGAGTCTACCAAGTGGCAATAGCGACAGCAAAGAAGATTTTCTTCACCGCCTCTGTTGCATCCACGGAAAACAGCAGCAGGAGACTCTTTCAAGTGGTTCACAATTTAGCGGAACCATCTGCTCCATTGGGGTCCAGTACGGGCCACATGATCTCCTGCAATGATTTTGCAAAGTTTTTTGCAGATAAATTCACTCAGATTTGGTAAAAGGTAGACTCTACCGTGGGAGCAGGGCTGGGGCAGGAGAGTGCTAGAATCCTGTCTAGTCAAGTTGCGTGGGATCAATTCCAATCTGTTACCTCTGAGGATGTGGACAGGCTGCTTGGACGAGTGAAACCAACCACTTGTCTGCTTGATCCTTGCCCATCCTGGCTTATAGAAGCTAGCCAGGAAGGGCTGGGCAATGGGCTTAGTGGGGTGGTGAATGCTTCTCTCTGTAAGGGAGCCTTCCCTGACCTGCTGAAAGAGGCGGTTATCAAAACGCTTCTTAGAAAACCATCTTTAGACGTGTCCAATATGGCCAACTATCGCCCAGTCTCAAATCTTCCATTCTTGGGCAAGGTGATTGATTGAGTGAGTGGTTGCTGAAGAACTCCAGGCACGCCTGGAAAAATATATGCTACTTAGTTCAATGCATGGTATCAGCAATGAGAAAACATGACTATTGTATGCCGTGTTGGAGAAAGACGTTAGAACTGCCCTGAAAAACATGTGGACTTGCAGTGAGAAACAAATTGTTGCAAATGCAATTGTCAGAGACTGCCTCCAGGTCCCAGCTCACAGAGGACCAACGCTAGCCAGTTGAACTGTACAAAAGTCTTTATTGAAGCATAGTTTCCATGTTCAAACCCTAGCGTGCATCTCTACGTCTAGAGCCTAGACCGACGAAGCTCCGTCTGAATCTCCGCCCCCTGTACACCAGCTTAAGACTCTAGCCTTACTCCACCTTTTCCGTCTCTCCTTACGCCTCTGGGTCCTACCACCCCCCGGGGTCCCTTCCTTCCTGGACGCTTCGGAAGCGGACCCCTCGGACTCTTCGCCCTCCCTTCGGCGGGCTTTAGGACCTGGCTCCCTATCCGGGCTGCTCATTGCGCCACCCTCTTGTACATTTGAACTTGGCGCGCGCGCGCTGCCTCCGACCTTCCTTTTGACCGTTTCCTCACTCTCTGATGCAGGCGTGGCTAACCCTGACTCATGTCCTTCCGCTGACGGAAAGCTGCCTGATGCCGATGCCTGGGACTCCTCCCCCCTACTGCTCTCCGGTGGGGCAGCTGGTCCCGATTTCCAACTGCTGCTCTCTGAGTCCCCTCTGGCCCCTCCTTCCTGGGGTGTTCCCTCTGGCAACCCCCTAGCTCTGACCACGGGAGCCCCTTTCTGTGAATCCTCCGATTCGCTGGAGAGACTTAGAGACCTCGGGCGGCTATCATCGCTAACTTCTCCCTCGGATTCCTCCCCCTCGGTCTCTAATTCCTCCCTTTCCTGTCCCTCTGCTCCTGAGCCCCTGACAGCAATTATTCCAGACTTTTACATTGCTGCATACAGAAAAATTGTATTGTCATTGCTATACTTGCAAAGTGAGCCTAAAGGGAAGAGGTTTTGTGCTATTCCTACTCAATTCTTGTAGAAAAATAGAGGAGTTTTGGAATAGCCCCATACTCCAAAAAGAGCAGCAGCCAAAGTTTCTGTGTACATATACTTTGCTCCAGACAGCTCACAATTTAAATTTCAACCAAAGGGAAATTAAGGAGGAAGAGAAAGGGAAGGCAAGCATAAATCCTAAAATTCATAGGATGAATATGCACAGGTGCCGGTACCCGTATGACACTGCAGTTCTGTGCAGTGCATATGAAAACGTATGTGGAACCTGTCTGATAGTTTCAGTTGTAATTGAACTCTAATGTGTTAAGCCAAAGGCTGCACATATCAGGGGGGTTGTGATACAGCTATGGGAGTAGTACAGTGGTACCTTGGGTTACATACACTTCAGGTTACATACGCTTCAGTTTACAGACTCCGCTAACCCAGAAATAGTACCTCGGGTTAAGAACTTTGCTTCAGGATGAGAACAGAAATCATGTGGCGGCGGCGCAGCGGCAGCAGGAGGCCCCATTAGCTAAAGTGGTGCTTCAGGTTAAGAACAGTTTCAGGTTAAATGGAGGAGGACTGGAAAAAATTTAAGGACTATTTGCAAAAACAATATAAGCTGTATGAATGTTAAGAATGTGTACGATTAGGAAACTTATGCTTCAGCAACTTGAATAGGTGAATTGGAAACTAAGTTATAAGAAAGACGAGGTGGACAATATGAAACAACCATACTATGTTTATTTTTAAGGTACAAATAATTGAGATACAGTATTTTGAATTTAGAAACATAGTATTTGAAAGATACAGTAAGATATGAAATAAGGTAACAAATTGCTGATGTTTTAATAGTAAAGAACGCAGGATTCGGAAGATGTGGGGAAGTCCGGTTGGAACGGTTAAGTATTTTGAAAAGTTGGCTTTTATGTATTTTTTCTTTTTCTTATCTTTATTCTATACTCTTTATTCTGTAAATTTCTGACTATTTGAAAGAAAATTTAATAAAATATTTTTTTTAAAAAAAAGAACAGTTTCAGGTTAAGAACAGACCTCCAGAACGAATTAAGTTCTTAACCCGAGGTACCACTGTATTAGAGAACATGTTATGCAGAAGTGTAGAGACATGCACTGCCACAGTAAAAACATCTCTCCCCCCCCTCTCTCTCTCTAGGAAAATCATTGCAGAAGGATAAAAATCTTAGGGGACTGTTACTACTGTGTGTCAGGACTGACCCAGCCCAAAACAGATCATGCCCACTGCTGTGTGGAAATGGGATTGGATATGATTGACACCATCACGTAAGTTCTTCACGGGCTTGCATCCTTCCATAGCAGGAGTGGCTCAACTTTTTTGGCCCAAGGCCCACATTGTTTCATAGCAAGCAGTCCAGGGGTCGCATGTCAGTGGTGAGTGTGGCCACCCCACACTCCCACGCATACCAGAACACACATAGTCCTTTTCAGGGTCTCCAGGAGGTGAATGAAAAGTTCCTTCTCCACAATCACCAGCTGATACAGCAGAGCTGGGAGCTGCTCCCATTCAGATGCCATGGGAAACTATAGTTTGGGACCATGATGATCTCTCCTCCTGGCCTGCCTCCCCCCTGCAGTAGCATCTCCTTATTTATTGATGTTGGTCCAGAGGAAAGTAGTCACTCTCAGAGATGCTGTTTCTGCATGCCTATCCTAAGACCAAGAAGCGGCAGGGATCAAAGGAGCTTCAAAAATGTTCAGTAACAACACACAAGCACCCATGCCCAAGCCAATTCTAACTGGATTAAGGAGGAAACAACACCCATCCAAGGAGGAAGGAGAGCTTCCAAACCTTTTAAAGAAATGGGTCATATATGCTACATCCTTTCCTACTTACAGGAATGTGAACAACTATCTTCCAGATTCAGGTAGGTAGCCATGTTGGTCTGATGCAGTAGAAATATATATAAAAATAAAAAAATTGTCCAGTAACACAAATGCTCATGCCAAGAACAAACTTAGTTGGTCTGATGGTGTTTCCTGCTTGGCAGGGGGTTGGACTCGATGGCCCTTGTGGTCTATTCCAACTCTATGATTCTATGATTCTATGGTCTCTAAGGTGCTACTGGACAATTTTTTATATTTTTAAAATATATTTCAACTATCTTCCAGTTTGGAATAAAAATGCTTGGAGTCAGAGCTTCAAATGTGACTCCTCATTGAGGAAAAGTCTTTTACCACTCCCCATAACAAAGTGATCAAATTTAGGAGGGTGGTGGATGACTTGACCACATCTGGTTTGAGAGACTGTCTATTGAATATCTCCAATCACTTCTGGGAGCTCAGGTGGAGCAGCACAGTTCTGAGACACTGCATTTCTGTCCTCTCCAGAGATGTTTGTGTCATTGGGAACATCTCATGGTGCATCTGAAGATCTATGGGTCAGAGATGTCTGCAACCTCCAGCCAGAGGAGACCAGGAATCTCATGTGGCAATATGGACTTTCGCTGATTGTTAGGCTGTGAAGACTAATATTGTGAGCAATTTCCATGTGGGTGTTCAGGTTTCACCAGAACTCAAGGAGTCAGACTCTGACTTTGGTGTGTTAGTCTCTTTGATGAGGCAATTGCAAAAGTTTCTGCCTGCTACCTTGTAGGAAGGACAGTGTTTGGGCCAATCATGAATAAACCATTTTAGACAGAATATTAAAAACATGATAAAACATCAAACATTAAAATCTTCCCTAAACAGGGCTGCCTTCAGATGGAACACTACCTTAAAACGCCCACTGGAATAAGAAAGTCCTTGCCATATACCTGAAGTTCTGCAAGGAGAGTGTCTGTCTGATCCCAATCAAGAGACAGGTCCACGCCTGGGCCCACAACCCTACATGCACAGCTTCTAGTTGGAGGACCACCAACAGAGACAACCTCAAAGATCTCAGCAATTGGGCAGGGATAAAGGGGCTCAGGTGGTACTATCATGGAGCCAGGTTTCTGACCTGGTACCACATGGGCAGACAGTTGTCTGTCCCTATCAACTGTTTAGGTGCAGCACAAGGGTAGCCCCACATAAAGTGCATTGCAGTAATCAAGTCTTGAAACGTTGTGGCCATCCTAAAAAGATTAAAAGATAACACAAAGTTTAATCTTCATTACTACGTGGTCCACATCCAAGGAATTGAAAATAAGTCGGGTGTTTTGGCCTCATAGTATTGCATACATTGAAGCTTTTACCTTTGTGGGGAACAGAAAGGGGAAAGATGATAACAAATGTTCTCTAATGTACTGCATTCTGATTCTGTGTTTTCTAGATCAGTAGCTGAAGCCACTGAAGTAGATCTCAACATGAGGGTCGGCCTGCACACAGGAAGGGTGCTTTGTGGTGTCCTGGGCCTTCGCAAATGGCAGTATGATGTTTGGTCAAATGATGTGACTCTGGCTAATGTAATGGAGGCTGGAGGCTTGCCTGGGTAAGTCTCAGCCTGAAGTTCTGCCACCCACCCAGTGGTGTCGTGTGGGGAGGGCCAGAGGGGTGGGTACCCTGGGAGGGTGCTTTTTTTGGTGGGTGAATTTTGCTCCTCAATGCCCTGCCAGCCCTGCTCCACTGTGCCCCTGCTCCCCATGGCCCTTGGTGGGCACAACAAACATGTTCCCAAGGAGCACACTTGTCAGAGCTGCTTTGTGATGCTGCAGGACTGCGTGAAGAGAACCAGAATGGCGCATGCCCCCTGCATGCTCTTCACGCAGCCTTGCAGCCTTGCAAAACAGCGTGGAGTTGGCAGGGCAGTGTGGGTGTGCCCTTTGGGCAGGTGTGCAGCGCAGCTCTGCTGGGTGGCAGGGAGTCACTCCAGCAGCACCAGTGGTATGCACCCCAGGCACCAGTGACACTTGCTACGTCTTTGCTGAAGGGTATTCAGGGCCCCAGTGAAGGGTGGTGAATTCTTGCAGGAAAAGCCTGTGGCATCTGCAAATGTCAGAGGGGTGGCCCCATTGTCAGCACCATGTCAAGACTCCATGCCTCTCAGTGTGTTAATATGCCACCAACTCTGTTGAAAGGGTATCCGTTGCAAACATTTATCAGTTTGGTGCTAGGACCAAACTGGATGAGACAATCTTTTTGGGAAAATCCAAGATTTCCCTACCCAAACCAGTTGAGGATTTGGATTGGGGTTTAGCCTTCTTCACGCTCAGTGTGTGTGTGTGTGTGTGTGTGTGTGTGTATACACATAGGCTAGAAAAAAATTGTGACCTAGCAGAAGCTTTTATGTACCGCAGAGTAAGTAAGCCTATGATGTTTCAAGGCACTGTCTTTTTTCTTGCCTACTCCCACCTAATCTCTAGGAAAGTGCATATTACAAAGACCACCTTAGAGTGCCTGAATGGGGACTACGAGGTAGAACCAGGCTATGGCCATGAAAGGAACAGTTTTTTGAAGAAGCATAATATTGAGACCTTTTTCATTGTGCCATCTCACCGGAGGAAGGTATGTCTTTCATTCTGGCTGCTAACTGCATAGGCTTTGTGGTCTGATTCTTCTATGGTGTTGTGACATCATAAACGATTCACGTGAATTTTCATCCATGAGCTGAACTTCTATTTGAATTGAACAGGAAAAGCTGTGCTAAAACACTCCATGTCAGTTAGATGGTCAATCTCTTTCACTGTGAACACTGTGGACACTTAGAGAATTTGTGTGATTATTGAGTGAGTGGGAGTATATATTGTATTTTATTTGTTTGATTTCTTTGTGAACCATTTTGTGATCTTTTCTCTATACTGAAAAGCAGTATATAAATACTTGAAATAAATAAAAAATAAGCATGATGCCAGGAAGTAACATTCATCCATCATTTTCCTATTTTTATTAGATTAGTATTTTACAGAACACTTTACCTGAAAGTTCTCTTGTGCAAACCACACTGAAATCATTCATTGTGCCCTTAAATGTTGACTTCATATCTTTAAAAACTGAGAGAAGTGAAATTACAGGGAACCAGGCAGCGGGCCTTCCCATCAGATGTCAAGGAGATAAATAAATATACAACTTTTAGAAGACATCTGAAGGCAGCCCTGTATAGGGAAATTTTTAATATTTGATGTTTTATTGTGTTCTTATATCTGTTGGAAGCCACCAAGAGTGTCTGAGGCTATAATTATCATCATCATTATAATTATCATTGTTTTTACATTTCAGCATGTGAGCATGGTGTCTTTTCAAGTCTTTCTGATATTTGTAAGGATATTTGTAAGAACATAAAACATCACATTTAAAATGATGTTTCATCTGCAGCAATTGTGTACAATGGGCTTACTTAAAAGTAAGGAACTGGGCAGACTAGCTGTTTGTATTGCAAGGTTTGGGCATAAATATTTGTGTTTGGACAACTGACCTTTGGGGTGATGCGTGTTCTGATAGCTGGACCTGTGGGGAGCTTCCTTTTATGCTTCTGTAAGCAATGCCTGCCTTGGATAGCCCTGTCTTTCAGCTGGGTGTTTCTCTGTTCAACAGTGCTTTACAATGCTGTTTTTCATATCTTTAGCTATCTAATGGTTTGGAAAACTTTTAGAGGTGTGTGTAAATTCTGCTTTGATGATGAGAAAAGATGGGGGTAAACACAGATGTGTAGAAACAGGGCTGTAGCTACGGGGGGGGGAGCTAGCTAGGTTTTTTGGCCTGGGTAAAGCCTACAGAAGGCAGCACTGAGGCTCCCAGCCTGTGTGCAAATGTGCAGTTGTGTGGGGGGGGTACCAAATTGTGTCTTTGACCCAGGTGAAATAAAGCCCAGATTCACCCCTGGTAGAAATGCGCCTAGCCCCCAAAGGCAGTCAGGTATGTGCTATGTGAGCCTCTCTCAGTTATCTGGCTGCTAAGCTACACCTTTTCATAGGAAACTACTGTGTGGGAGAGGGAACACAAAGCTCCCCTGTGGTTGAGGACAAAGCTACCTTAATTTGAGGAATGTGTGTTCTCAATATACAAATAAAGGTATTTGTATTGTATAGTATTATAATAATAATAATTTTATTATTTATACCCCACCTATCTGGCTGGGTTTATGTATAAGCTGTTGTAGGGCAGACAACACAGTTTTTGTAGGTTTCAGTGGAGATAGACAGAGGCCTTGTTTAAATTCTGCCATGTATTTTTATGTAGAATGCCTATGTTATTCGCTTTTGATACTATCTTATATCAAGGCCTGTAAATAGTTGCTCTCCTGATTAATTACAGCAAGTAGGAATTACCTTCAAGTGGTCTGACAGAGGAGTTTTTCAAAAATTGCTTCCAGTTTTCTTTTAGGCTACATATGACTAGCTGACACAGATTTGCCTAAGCCAGTGGTGGCCAATCTTGGCCCTCCAGATGTTTTGGGACTACAGTTTCCACCATCCCTGACCACTGGTTCTGTTAGCTAGGGATGATGGGAGTTGTAGTCTCAAAACATCTGGAGGGCTGGGTTTGGCCACTACTGGCCTAAGCAGATGGGCCAGTACAAAGCTGTGTTCAGGCTAATAATTCTTGTGGAATTATATGCCTGTTATTGTTGGGGGTCTCAGAGGCAAATGACAAAAGCAGAAGAGGTGATGAAAATGATGTATAGATGGTATATTACACCTGTTAAGTTAGCAAAAATGTATAAAGTCAGTAATAAATGTTGGAAATGTAAAGAAAAAGAGGGAACATTTTATCACATGTGGTGGGGAATGTAAAAAGGTGAAATGCTTCTGGGAGATGATATATAATGAGTTGAAAAAAATGTTGAAATATACATTTATAAAGAAACCAGAAGCATTTTTATTGGGCATTGTGGGGAGTGATATAAATAGAAAGGGAATGTAAGCTCTTCTTATATGCAATAACAGCAGCAAGGATATTATTGGCCCAAAAATGGAAGCAAGAAGAGTTACCATCGATTGAAGAATGGAGGATGAAGTTAATGGACTATGCAGAATTAGATAAACTAACAGGAAGGATTCGAAACCGGCGAGACCAGAAATTCACGGAAGACTGGAGTAAAATTTATGGATTATTTGAAAAGTAATTGTGAAGAACAGATGATGTTTGTAGGGTTGCAAGAAGTTTTGTGAGGAGTATTATTAGAAGTATTGTAAAAATGGATAAGGGGGAGGATGATTTGTTAAGAGATGTAAAGGCAATATAAAGTTAAGAAATGCATAAGAAGTGGTTAAAATGGTGGATCATCAGAGGTGCTGATGGGAAGTCCAAAAAGATTGTATAAGTGATAAGTTTTGTGGTACATTTTATAATTTATATGTTAAAATTAATAAAAAAACATTATTAAAGACAGAAGCAGAAGAGACTTGAAGAATAAGGGAGCCACAAGAAACCCATGGAAAGAAGGAAGACAAAGAGACTGAATGGTGTTGGGACTGAAGGAAATAGCTTAGGATGGACCATGAGAAGACATCACCAAGCCCCATGTTTGTTACTTGTGCACGGGTCAAAGAGCTGATGTGCT